TTTTCCCTTTCAGCAAGGACACCGTACTGAAGGCAATTCGCAGTGGTGGGTGCACACCTTGTGAGCATACTGCCGGAAGAAATCTGGACGCCCGATTGGCCGTGGCCATATTCAGTCCTATGCAACCTGACTTGACCTGAACTGAACTGAACTGAACCATAGTAACGGATAACAATTTCTCTCGGCGCATTTTCAAACTCGAAAATTGTTCGCTCAACTGCTTATACTCAAAAATTAAAATGATGATAAATAATCAGACATATTGGCTAAATTTAAAAAAATTGTGGAAATATAAATATAAAGGTAGATCTGAACGGCAGTTGTATTATATCTTTCACGGCTTAAATTTTATTGTAAGAATTATTCAGCTAGACAACGAAATGAAAATGTTTCCCTGGGGCGACTGTGGTTCAGGTCTACTAATATAAGTTTTAGTATGCCTTTAGGCATAGAATAACTTCAAGGACGATTACTAATAGGCCATGTGGTATGTTGACAGGGAACCCTGGCAAAATACCAGCGCGTTTTTTCGCCAGAATTTCGCTCCCCAAATGCCTTTTTCCCCAAATAGTAGACTCGAGCATCTCTGGCAGGCTTATATGCACTAAAAATCTCAAAATTGATTATCCATTGGATAAACGTGAAACAAGTATATATTCCAAGAGTTATTTATTTAAGACGGAGAACGGGTTTCGATTAATAACCCAGTCAGTACGAGCGTCACCGTTTAGTCACCGAACACGCACCGTTTCGTCACGCGAGAGTCACCGATTAGTACCCATTGAAACAAATTGTTGACTGTCGAAAAAAAAATTGGCAGCTAATCGTAGTACATTCCCAATTTTAATTTCACGGAAAAACTACTAGCGTTCTTTCACTGAACTACGTAGGCCCACTTATTTCGGATTCCTAGCCCTTTAAAACCCAGAGACCGATCGACGTCCAATATCCTATGGCTAGAATCTCATCGTCTTAAGACGAACAGTAGTATGTTTACTCTGTATCCAGATTAGTCATTAATCAGGGGTAAATTCGAACGGCTAGGCGCAATGGAATCTCACGTTGTGAGCACTTTTGTCGGCAGTGGTAACTGAGTGGTAACTGAATTTGTGGTGAATCTAAAAGAGTGAATCCTAGAAAAACGGGCAAAGCCCTGTTGCAACCCGACGTTATTTGCGCGAAATTTCGCCCCAAAATTACGCGTTGCATGACGCGCTATATAGCGTGTTATTCCGGCCTTTTTGCGGATAGGTGTGGAGTCCGCGCATATACAGGGCACTGGTAAGTCGCAGAAGATGCTAGGCCCACTTTTGACCTTAAGGAACGCAGCACAGTGTGTGCGAATATAAGCGGGAACGGAACAAGTCACAGATGATCCAAAGAACAAGCAAATATAACGTTGAGCTTAGACTGGAATAGTCAGCAAGAACGAACCCGAAAAGGTTCTGCGCGTAGGTGCAGTCTAATGCTCATACACGCGAATGTATAGGCGCGTTGGACGCACCCGGCGGAGTTAGAGCTACGAGTAATGAAGACAAAACGAGAACGCTGCTGGGTTTTTTAAGTGTCTATAGGGCGACGCCCAACACAGCTATTTTGACACTGCAACTGCTAGGAGACAGTCAGATTCTAGCGGAAATCTGTATAACGGAAGCCGATGTAACTTGAGAACTCAAAGTGCTGAATAAGTATAAGTCGGCAGGTTCGGATGAAATCCATCCAGCCATAGTTCATCCATTATCCGAGGTTCTAACAGGACCAACCCCTAGTCTAGTTAGGGGATCGCTCCAAAACGCTAAGTTATCAGATGATTGGCGCAAAGCGATAGTAGTGGCCCCGCACAAATCTGGGTCCAGCCTAAAGTCGGTGCTGTATAAGTGCTTAAAACGATTGGTTAGGAGGCAGATATGCCTGCACCTAGTACATAATCGACTTCTGACACCGACGCAGCGTGGTTTCGTTTAGCGTAGGTCATGCTTTACCAATCTGGTGGTATTTCCGGATGAGGTTACGCGGCGGTTGGACGAGGGCAGGAACGTAGAAGTATGCTATTTAGACTTCTCAAAGGCCTTCGACTCCGTCAACTACCGGCTGTTGGACGTCAAAATATAAGGCCTGAGTATTGTACGCAACATAAGAAATTGGCTCATGTCGTTTTTGAGCAAACGCACCTTTAGGGTGAGGGTGGGAGACCGTGAGTCAGAAACTGAAGTGGTCTCGAGCGGAGTCTCACAAGGCTCTGTGTTAGGACCTATAATGTTCATAAACGACTTGGCACAGGTTCTTCAAAATCCTTGCTTCATTTTTGCCGATGACTTCAAAAATGAAGGGCGCCGACTTGCAGAGGGACTTAGAGATAGTTCATGGATGGACTGTTTGGTGAGATCTTCCTCTGAATCTCATCAAGTGTCGGTTGCTGGCCATCAGACCCAACACATACTTGGCAAACGGTCTACCGCAACAACAGGACTCACAAATGAGAGACCGTGGAATTATTATGAACGACAATTTCAAGCCATCAACTCAGTGCCTCAGGGCAGCGAACAAGGTCAGGGGGGAATTGTTTCGCAACAGTCACTAGCAGACAACTGAAGGTTTTTGCTCCTTTATATAAGGCTGTTGTTCGCCCTCATTTAGAATATTGTGTCCAGGAGTGGGCACCCTATTACAGGAAGAACGTAATATGCTTGGAGAAGCTGCACCGTCTGTCCACCTCAATGATAGCTGGACAGAGGGGTAAAAGCTAAGAACAGAGACTTAGGGCTCTCAGCCTCTTCTCGTTTGAACGCAGAAGAGTGCAGGGTGACCTGATAAAGACTTTCAATATAGTGAAAGATCTGTCAAGGCTCAACCTAGGTGGTCTATTTACCCCAGCTCCTAACCACTGCACGAGAGGCCACAGCCTCCAGCTGCAAAGGAACCACGCTCGACTGGATATTCGGGTCAATTTCTTTTCACACGGATCATACCTATGTGGAATAAGTTACCTGAGGAGGTAGCCAACTGTACAAGCTTCAAAGCGTTTAAGACGGTACTAGACTCCTGTTGGGATGAGCCGTTCCTGGAGGTTGGCGTCAAAAACAGGTATTCTTCGGGCAGAAGCAGATGCAAGCCAGGGGACCTACAACGTAAGGGGTTTCCCTGTGTAATAACGTATACGGTGCATACGCACCAATGAAAAGCTTTTAATGAAGGCCTCTCACTGAACAGGTGAGAAGCCAACTTTTCCTTCTTTTACAGCACCGGTTGTGAAGACCTCCACAATTGGAAACTGTTTAGGTCAACAAGGAACCCATTAGACAATGGAATACGCAGTGTTGAAAGCACAGAACATTAGCCCACAACAAAACGAACTGGGCGCACGATTGGCAAGAGCCTGATTTCGTCCTAAGAAACTGAACTGAACACTAATGAAAAGGGTATAATTAAAATTAGCATACTTTTGGATCTGTCCATAAGTTTATATAAGTATATATATCATAGAATATATATGGTGATAGTTCTCCTCAGCCTGAGATGTTGAAGCAGTTATAACTGTATACAGCTGTTTACAGCGTTTACGCCTTTTTTATCGCAATCCTTTTATTGCAGTTCAATTCAGTTCTCACTGTACGATTTGTGGCTCTTGCCAATCGAGCTTCCAGATTCGTGTGTTGTCGGTGAGTTAC